TAAAATATCTTACCTGTGCTCCAAGTTGTGCTACAAAAATTGGTAACATCTGAAGATAAAAGAGATAAATTGACTAAAAATGTATTCAAAGGCAAGTTCTGGCAGATAGTACAAATATTGAGATTTTGATTTAAAAAAAGATATATTTGCTTAGCCAATACTTATTACTAATGTATTGTCTATAATCATAAACAAGGTCTCATAGGGCTGACTGGCTCTCATCTCCACTGTAGGGAGGTTAGTCCTGGAGATATTTGAGGCCACGCCCCTGCTGGCACATTAGAGACAGAAGCTAGCACACTTGGGTTTGTGTCTTCCAAAGCCCTCGTGATGAGGTGGGGCTCCCAGCTCACACTGCTATGGAGAGATGGTGAACCTTCAAGAAATGGATCATCCTGGGTGGGTCTCCTAGTCACTGGCAGAGAGGGGGCATGGAAGGGGGCATTGGGGCTTCTGTCCCTACCTCCCCTCCTCTTTTTTCATCCTGGCCAGGAGGTGAGAAGCTTTTTGGATGGCCATGTGCTTCCCACCATGATGTGCTACTTTACCTCAAATGTAATGGAGAACACTGACTACAGATTGAAACTCAATGACCATCATCTGAAATAAGCCTTTTCTCTTATTAAATTCATATTCCCAAGCATTTGTCATAGTAATGGAAAGCTGCCTCATATACATAAACAAAAAGCAATTTTAGTGTCTAGCAGATTTCACATAGAAAATTATTTAAAGAAACAGTGATGAGGAAATGCATGTTTCTTTTGTGTGTTGTTTAAGAAGGCATGTTAAAACATGTAACTGATATTTAAAAATACAGAGGTTTGTTGAAACATACATGTTTATTCTCATAATAGTTGCCTGATGTTTTGTTTTTAAATTAGAGCACAGAGCATAATGGGACCTCATAGGAGTTCTGAGAATTGGCAGAACTCTTAGAATTAAAACTTTGAAAAGAAAAAAAAAAAAGAACTCTTAGAATTAGGTGAGAAATTAGTCAGCAGTTTCTGGTAACTAAATGTTGTAAATTTGTAACTGGAAAAGGTTTGGGTGAGGTGTGGAGTGCTCTGGAACTCTCTACTATCCCACAACTACATGAAGAACTGAGATTTGACCCAGGACTGAATGGATCTAGAGTTCACTCTGTACCAGTTGGTTTTCCTTTGATAATTGGGCACTATCAACAAGTACCTAGATTTATGGAGAAGGAGTTAGCCTTTCTGTATGAGGAGAAGTAGCGGGAAGGGGCAAGATTGGAATTGCACAGGCAAGGGCTGGATATCGATATTCTTAGTAGTGCCATAGTCCAGGGATGGTGAAGAATACTTATTATGGCTGGAGACTGATTTACATTCCTCCACATTGGATGCCTCACTCTACTGAAACATTTGTGACTTCTACAATGACTACTCGTGCCTTTGATTCTAGTAGGCAAGTACTTGTTAGGGAATAATAAACTGTACTAAGTCTGTCTTTAAGTTTAGAGCAGGGCAACAACTGGGACTGAAGCTGGAAGTTGAGTGTGGATCACACCAAGAGCATCTGTGAAAGACAGTCTAATTTTATTCACATCTTCTTAGATCTTTTTCTGGGGCAGATTTTATTACTAAGATTTACATTATAAGATATTTTGTGTGTCCTTCATTTCAGACATCATTTGTAAGGATCAGCCCAAAGAAAATACTCCTTGACAAGGTTAAAGTCTTAGTTATAAATGTGTTTACTGTGGCGTTCTTTATAGAAGCAGAAAGCTTGGAAAACAATCTCCACATTGCTACAAAAAAATTTAGTGTAAGATTGCATTCTAATCCCTCAATAAATAATGCTATAAATGAATATGCCAAGGTATGACAGCTATTAAAAGTGCATTTGATGGAAAAAATCAGGTTACAGAATAACCAGTCTAATAAGAACCAATTTCTTTTGAAAATGTACCGTATTCATTACAAATGGCCCGGAAGGGCATATCCTCGAGTGTCTAATGTTAACAGAGCTTGCTTCTGGGAGGATTTTATTTTATTTTTTGCTTATATGTATTTTAAAAATTCTTTCTAGTTAACATACTAACAAAATAAGCAATAAATAAATATACAAAACATTAAATAATTGTGTGGAAATAATGGGTCTGACATGCGGAACTTGGGATTGATCTCAGGACCTTGCACTTGCCAGGCAAGTGCTTATTCTACTGCACTATTTCCCCAGCCCTGGCCTGATATGTTGAGGAGAATGAATTATCCAAAAACAATTTGGTTTGACCATAACAGCATACGTGTATTTTCTCCAAAGGTTGTTAAGTTGTTTAGAGAAGATTAAAGAAGCTAAGTCTTTGGAGTGCTCCATTGTCGAAATGCAAACACTTCCCCAAAGCAGTATCTTAAACATGTTATTTTTATCTAAGTGTGAAAGTATTTTCTAAGGCTTTTTTTCTGAAAGTAAACAGTGGTGGGAAGTGAGAATATAACAAGTGAAAGTCCTTTAGTAATTTTTTTTTTTTTTTTTTTTTTTTTTTTTGCGGAACCGGGGGTTGAACTTAGGCCCTTGCACTTGCCAGGCAAGTGCTTATTCTACTGAGCAATCTCCCTGGCCCCAAACAGCTGGCAATTTGATTTTTTTTTTTTTCGGAACCAGGGATTGAACTCAGACCCTTGCGCTTGCCAGGGAAGCACTTATTCCACTGAGCCATCT